AGTGTGAATCTTTACTAAAGAAAAACGGATTGATAACAATCAGACTTCTAATAATTGCTTTGAGAAGGATAGTTGTGATGATTTTTTTTTTGGGTGGTCGATACTTGAAATCTTGATTAGAAATATTACAGACAATTTATGTTTATAGTTAAACTCATGTCAATTTGAAAACGGTTGATTTATTTGTGGCAACAATTTCAGAAATGGGAACTTTTTATTTAATAGTTTTTTCAGGTTTTTTTTTATAGAAGAGAGGTTAACGAGCACCCGATGTTAAGTGACTACCGCCGCCCCTGATCAACTGCAACATCAGGGAATTGCTGGTGCGTTGCCGGCTCTTTAGGAAGGAGTAAGCTCTTTTCTTGAAGGTCTCCAAACTATTCGAACCAAACAGTATTTATACTGAAGATATTAATAGTTATTTTTCAACCCTCCGCTCAATTAAATGAAATGATGTGTCTTACCCAATTTGAAAAGCACCCACTCCCAACATCACTCTTCTAAGAAAGACACACCATCAACGATAATACGACACGAGGCACCCTCAGGCGATGTAGACTCTACGGCGACTGACCGCTAAGTGAGCGGCACTCTATTTTCTGGATGTTATCGCTGTTAGTCTATGCGACTCTTACAGCTTCATCTGACTCAGGACCAGGTTACTGAGCTATCTGACCGCTGTCCGAGGGGGGAATTGCGGACCCCGTCCCTGACTGCTAAGCTCGTGTCTGTCGATTGTCTGGGCGGTGAGAACCGCTCAGGTGCGCGGGTGTACGGTGTGTACGCGGTGTATGCTGGAACGCGCCCTATTCGTAATCCTAACAGTGTTTGTCCCATTTAGTGTGGGTATAGTGGCATTGTGTAATGTGCCTGCGATGTTTGGATTAACTGGATCAAGCGGTCGTGATGGTCTGCGGAGATTAAGCGGGACGTTTGTTATCGGAACGTAGTTGGCTGGTTAGGGTGGGTTTCTACTCTATCAAAGTATCGTTGAGACATCTTGAAGTATTCGGAGATAGAGGATAATTCACATTCGTTGTGCAAATCAGAGCTCAGTTGATACCACCGGGCACCGGTAGCTTTTCAGATGAAATAGTTTTGGACTCTTTGGAGTTTTAAAATGTAGGTCTTATAGGTGTGGGCGAAAGCTACACTTGCGTAGGACATAAAAGGTCTAACGCAGGTTTTGTACAGTTCGAATTTGTGTTTTAGCGACAGCTTACTCTTGCTGTTAACGAGAGGGTGTAGACGGCCAATGACTGACTTGGCTCTGTTGCGTACTACACTTATGTGCTTCGCGAAACTCATGCGGGTGTCGAACGTGACGCCTAGGTATTGGGTCGATACTTCCCAAGGGATTGGGCGGTCATATAGTGAAATGGTTTTTGGTTTAGAGCGTGATGTTGAATTCCGTTGAAAGTATACTGCTACGCTCTTTTCGGGATTCACATCAATTCTCCATAGGCGGAACCATTCGCCTAGGCGATTGATTTTTGGCGGCTTTTTGGAGCTTCAACGAGAGACTATTTTTATTATAGTCTGAAACATAGAGTGCCGTATCGTCGGCGAAGAGTGCGGTATCCACTACTGGGTCTTGAGGAATGACGAGGAATAAGGAACGAACGGGAACGGGTTCTCTCTACACGATAGCAAAAATTGCGATTCGAGATGAAGACTTTTATGATGTGCACTATCTGTCGAGCACGTTTAGTTTGTACAGCTTGTAAATCAAGCCGTCGTACCAGACCTTGTCATCAGCATATGTTCTTTAACGCGGGTTTTAATTGATCTTTTAGTTTGTCCTATGTAAGAGAGACCACATTCACAATCAAGCTTGTACACTCCTGCATCTTGCAGAGGGACGTTACACTTGACTGATGGTAAAAACTGACCAATCTTCTTCGGCGGCTTGAAGTATGTTTTGATGGAAGCTCGCTTCAAGATGTAGCCAATCTTGTCAGTGACTCCTCTAACATATGGCAGTACAGCAGGTACACGCTCGACTGTGGCCGGCTTCACTCGTTCTCTGTGACGTAGGCGCGGGACCCAAAGCTTGTTGTCAAGCAAAACTTGCTTGACGTGTTGGAGCTCGGCAGCCAGGTGTTTACTGTCACAGTTCCCTCGTGCTCTCTGAAACAAAGATTTACCCACGGTAGCTAACTGTGAAGGATGGTGGTGAGAATCACCGTTTAAATATCTATCTGATAAACGGTGATGGGTCTTTTTTCTATACACAGTATGGCTCAAGGTGTTATCAGGATTCCGAATTACTAACACATCTAGAAAAGCTAAGGAATTGTTTGCCTCCAACTCCATTGTGAACTGAATTTTAGAATTTATAGAGTTAAGATGGTCTAAAAATGCAGTTACTTTATCTAAAGGTAGAATTGTGAAAGTGTCGTCTACGTACCGTGTGAATGTGGTCTCTCCTACATAGGACAAACTAAAAGATCAATTAAAACCCGCGTTAAAGAACATATAGCTGATGTGAAGAATCGACGCTCCGGGAAGTCTGCAGTCTGTGAACACGTACAGGATCGCCCTCGTCACTATATCAGATTTGATAGACCGCAAATCCTCGCTAAAAAACACCGATTCCTTCCAAGGATGATTCGCGAGGCTATTGAAATCAAAAAACATCCTAATTTCAATAGAGAAGATGGCTGGGTGCTACCATCTGCTTGGGATCCTATAATAAATAAAATTAAATCCCAAACCAAGCATACAACTGCAAGACTTCAAGATACCATAAGTTCATACTGTATAGATCGGAACAAAAGTTAAATTTTAATCTATGGTAACCGCGGTTAACTATGACATATGGACGTTGAACATCTAAGTCCCGCCTGTGACCATGAGTGCTGTAAAGCGTTCGAAACGTCGGGTATTTAGCAAGTTAAATATACGCGATAAATTCCGTAAAAACTACTGTTATTTCAATGTGTAGTGTTCGCGTAAATATAAGAAATCATTAAGTATGGGTGAGCAAGCTACAATGGGACTAGAACTTACCAGCCGATATCCTATGCGTCTGGATGAAACTGGTCTGGTGGATTTTGTTTCCCTTTTCTACTATTAGTGAAGTCCTTCCAGTGTTTTGTGTGTCACCTGAATCTACATCACTTAGCCGCCTAGGACTTATACAAGTACTGGAATAGGAACTAGATGAATGTCATCGATATATAATTGAATCACCTGCACTATGAGTCTCAAAATCCTCACAAATAGATGGAGACTTTACAGAACTGATTATAGATGCTCTGTGCTTTCCACTTAAAATCTTTCTTGCCTCTCCATCTTCATATTTAGATGAATCTTTCTTTTGTTCCCGGAACTTCATTTATTTTCTTTCAGGAGTAGAGCTTTGAAACTTTTTAATAAATTCTGCTTTGGTCTTACATTTTTCTTACCATTTGATGCTTCTGGAGTTAGCTGGTATATCATATTGAAATCACCTTCATCCATCAGAAGCCTATCAACCTCTGATAACCTTTTATTTTGGTTTACATTTTTTTGTGATGGCTTCTTCCATTGCAACCTAGATATAGGAGGCTTTGACTTCGTTCTCACTATAGTTAAATCAGTCTTTCCTTTCTTACATGGTGGAGACTCTTTTTTAGTGCTTATTACCTTATTCTTACTGACAGATTTACTTTTTGTAAATGTGTCAGGATTATACGGATCAAATATTACTTTTTTAATAATGATTCTCTCTAGTCTTCTTTGTGGTTGAACTTCATCTCCACTTTTATTAGATTTTTGGCTGTGATCTTCACTTGACGCAGAATCAATGAAAGTTATTATAAATTCTTCCTTAGCTGTTACTGCTATTTGGAGTTCATTAAGTTTATCAGAGGACTTTAAAAGGGAGTCTGTCTCTTTAAGGAATTTAGCAGACTTGTCTGTCTCTGAAATTTCTTCATCATCTCAATCCTTTACTAAAACATTAATAGTGCTTTCATATTTACTTTATTCTTTCTTTTCATTTTTTTTTTGATTTTGATATTTTTTCTGTGCTTCTTTTCTTTTTATTTTTTTATTTTTTAATTTCAATTTCATAGTAGATTTTTTATCTAACTCTTTGACTGTGATTTCCGTATTCGGTTCTTTTTATTGATCCGTTTCTTTTCCGTATTATGTTCTGATTGGCTAGAAATATTTTCATTTATAGCTACTGTGTCACGACCTTGAACAGCCGCTATTTACTGTGACGTTTCTGCCTCATTTGTTTCAACAGTTAATTCAGTATTTTCTTCTGTCAATTCGAGGCTTTCTTGTGTAGTTACCATTTCTGTTATTACATTGAATACTTCAGCCGGTCCAGCTTTACGAATACCGAGGACACCGTTCGATTTGTGACACACATCCGATCCTATGCACTCTACAGTTTTTTTGGTGACAAAATTGTTTTTACATGATTAATAGATACGTTTAATTCAGGTGTTTCTTCTATAACTTCCATTTTGCGACTAATTCTTATTTAACACTAAGACTTACAAATAAACTTTAAACAGGTTAACCTAATATGTTGGTAAATAAATCAAAGACACGCAATTTTAACTTTAATATTAAAAACATGTCTGGATTACAGTATTCCAACATTAAATACATTTCAGTTCATAATTAGCGTTGGTAAGTAGCGTAGCTTAGCAAAAGCAAAAAAAAGAATCATTATAATACGACGATCAGCTGTGTGTTTTAATGTACTGAAAAACTAGAATATAAATAAAAAATATGAAATATGTGAAGAATTTTATTAAATGGAAATTAAAACTCATCAAAATTAGGAACTCTTATTGCAACTCTATCAAGATTTTGATCCCGAAGTGTATAAGTCATATCAAATCTTTTATGTTTTCCTTTCAAACCGTCATTGCTCGTGTTTTTGTCTGTTTATTTTTATTTTCCTTCTCCTCTTCCTATTTACTTTTCCATCTCTGTATATCGCTTACTATGAACGGGGTGTTTTTCGACATCAAGGATCGACCAGTTCGGGAAAATCAATTGGAAATTCCCAAAAAGATCATCCTTATAATTAAATTCCATTTCTGTGCTCCTTTTCTTTTTATTTTTTTCAGTCGTGTGAGTTGTTGTAAAGCTAACTGTGTTTCTAAAGATTTAGAATTAACAGTATTCATGTCCATTTTTTCAACTACTTCTTTGTCATAAGATTCTACATCTTTTCCTTGCAAAATATTTAGCAGTTCAGGTGTTTCTTTTATGACTTCCATTTTGCGACTAATTCTTTTTCAACGCTAAGACTTACAAATAAACTTTAAACAGGTTAACCTAATATGTTGGTAAATAAATCAAATAAACGCAAATTTAACTTTAAAATTAAAAACATGTCGAGGATTACATTATTCCACCATTAAATACATTTCAATTCAAAATTAGCGTAAGCAAGTAGCGTAGCTTAGCAAAAGAAAAAAAGCATTATAATACGGCAATCAGCTGTATGTTTTAAAGTAATGGAGAAATATTAAAAACATGTCGAGGATTACATTATTCTACCATTAAATATATTTCGATTCATAATTAGCATAAGCAAGTAGCTTAGCTTAGCAAAAGCAAAAAAAAAAAACATTTTAATACTGCGATCAGATGTGTTTTAAAGTACTGGAAAACTAGACTATAAATATAAAATGTGAAATATATGATGAATTTTATTCAATAGAAATTAAAACTCATCAAAATTAGGAATTCTCATTGCAACTCTATCATGATTTTGATCGCAGAGTGTATAAGTAATGTCAAGTCTTTATTGTCTTCCTTCCAAATATCATTGCTCGTTTTATTGTTTGTTTATTTTTATTTTCCTTTTCCTCTTCCTATTTACTTTTCTCTCTCTCTTGGTGTCTCTTATTACCATGTTTCTCGACATCAAGGATCGACCAGTTCGAGAAAATCAATTGGAAAGTCCCAAAAAGGTTATCCTTAAAAATAAATTCCATTTCTGTGCTCCTTTTCTTTTTATTTTTTTCGGTCGTGTGAGTTGTTGTAAAGCTAACTGTGCTTCTAAAGATTTAGAATTAATAGTATTCATTTCCATTTATTCAACTACTTCTTTGTCAGAAGATTCTACATCTATTATTTGCGAAATATCTAGCAGTTCCTCTTTGTTAAGGACTTCTTGCTGCCCAGAACTAGAAATGTTTTCATTTCTAGCTTTTGTGTCAGGGCCTTGAACAGCCGCTATTTTCTGTGATGTTTCTGCCTCATTTGTTGCAACAGTTACTTCATTATTTTCTTCTATCCATTCGACACTTTCTTGTGTAACTACCATATCTCTTATTACGTTGTCTTCTTCAGCCAGTACAGCTTTACGAATATCGACGACACCGTTCGATTTGTGAACAACATCCGGGCCTACGCACTCTACAGTTTCTTCGATGACAACATTGTTTTTTACTTGATCAATAGATGCGTTTAATTCAGGTGTTTCTTTTATAACTTGCATTTTGCGACTAATTCTTATTCAATACTAAGACTTACAAATAAACTTTAAACAGGTTAATCTAATATGTTATTAACTTCAACTGATAATGATTCTGTATTAGAAACTTCTATAACAGATTCAGTTGAATGAACCTCAATTTCATAGTAGATTTTTTAGCCAAGTCTTTGACTGTGATTTCCGTATTTGGTTCTTTTGTTTGATCCGTCCCTTTTTCCATATTATAATCAGATTGCCTAGAAATGTTTTCATTTATAGCTACTGTGTCAGGACCATGTAGAGCCGCTATTTTCTGTGACGTTTCTGCCTCATTTGTTTCAACAGTTACTTCATTATTTTCTTCTATCAATTCGACGTTTCTTGTGTAATTACCATTTCTTTTATTACATTGTTTTCTTCAGCCAGTCATGATTTACGAATATCGACGACATCGTTCATTCGCAACATCGCTCTTACGCAGTTAACTTGCAACTTTTATATATCTAATTTTGATCTACCCTAATTTATGTTTACTATTTTATTATATTATTCTATGTGATTTATTTTAAATTGTAAGAATGTACTCATGTAAGTGACATTAGTCTTGAGTAAATAAAGATCTTTAAACCGAAGTCTTTTATGTCTTCCTTTCAAACCATCATTGCTCGTGTTTTTGTTTGTTTATTTTTATTTTCCTTTTCCTCTTCCTATTTACTTTTCCATCTCTGTATATCACTTACTATGGACGGGGTGTCTCTTATTACCATGTTTATCGACATCAAGGATCGTCAAGTTCGGGAAAATAAATTGGAAAATCCCAAAAATTCTGAGTCATGATCGATAAAGTGGCATACATCGGAGTTTACCCGGTAGATAAAATACACCCTTGGTTAGTATTTTATTTTATTTTATTAGGAGACCAACAGCTACCATAATTAGGATTGATAATACTAATAACAACAGTAAGCCAATTAAAGATCCTCACTAATAGATATAATGGTGAATTTACAACAATGATAAACACGATTTAACACTCGAAACTATCCAATACAACATATTTATGCCAAATGAGGGCTAAACTTGTATTATACATATTAAAGGCAATCAACTCATGCTACTGTCAATAACATTACAAGCTATTTTTAACAGAAAAATAAACACAAATATAAAAGTAAATCTTACTTAGTTAATTTAAAACCTAATATCTTTGGTACTGTTTTCACGCAGGGACGCGTCTAGTATCAGGATTGGTCGAGGGTTGAATAAATGATAATTATGCAATATTACTAAGCAATCTTCATAATTAATATGAATCTATTTCAAACTACCTACATTAATTCTAGAATTGAGTCACTATATAAAAGCGCGTACACTTGACGCTCGCGGCAGTTGATTACGAACAGTGGTGCTGAGAAGGTTATAATAGTCAAGTCTATTGTGAAATAATGTGATTCTAAAGGTTATGATTAAAGTTAAATTTATATATAGTCTTCTTTGTGAAAGTAAAGTATAGTGTGTTATAAAGTATTATATACAATTTAAGAGTGAAATTAAATAACGAACATAACTGGTTAAAAAGTTAGAACATACGTGGTTAAAAAGTTAAGTAAGGGAGTTTTCGTGGTTTTATTGGTAAAAAGCGGACACACGAGAGTAGAATAAACGCAGTAGAAATGCGGTCGTTAAGGTGTATGTTAGGGCTGAATATGAATGACAGGTTGAGAAATTGTGTGATAAGAGAAGAGTGTGGTTTGCAAGATGATGTTGTAACCAGGATTAAGAAAGGAATGCTTCAGTGGTTTGGTCTTGTAGAAAGAAGGAAGCGGAAGTGAATGGCAAAGTCGGAAAGGGACGTCCTAGGTAAAAATAATTTATCGACCAAATAAGCAATTTATTGAAATCGGGGCAACTTAGGAGTACCCCTTAACCGACGAGCATGTATGCGTAGTTATATGGAGATGAAGGAAGCGAGAGAGATCTGTCAGGATCGTGCCAGATAGAAGTCTGTAGTCTCTGCCTACCACTATGGGTGACAGGCGTGAGTGTTTATATATTTTATGTATATGCTATTATATCTTAGGCATCTACAATATTAATAATTTTATAAGAAGTCCAATTATATTTTTTGTACTTGAGAGGTATATTAAACAGAAAAGATTATTAATTATAAATAGCAAAATTTATACATCTCGTCTAATTGTAAGTGAAGCCAAAAAGCCTGCCTTTACTATACAGTATATGTATGATAAATTATTATAGTTTATGCGCCATCAGTTGAAGTAGTAGCCGACTTTCTTGGAAACACAAAATAATCAAATAATGTTGTGTTTCTGTTGTAGCAAGGATGAAAATTATGGTCATCATCTTTCAACTACCTTCCTATTAAGTATCTGCGCTAGCTGTGTTTCTCTGTTAGGAATAACTAATATGTTGCAAATTCATTTACAGTGAAGAGAGTTAAATTTAAAGAAGTATAACAATATCAAATGTTTTTGTTGCCAAAAACACTATTATTTCAAAACCCACTAATTCATCTACAAAAAAGAACATAGCTAATTCTGTTAAAAACACTTTTCATGTTAATGGCACAACCAGAAGAAAAACTTATTCTGACCCTATAAACAAATCTGCAACAAAGTTACAAGTACTTCTATTAAACCAGAAGAAACATTAAATTCAAAGCTTAATAGTTTTAAAAATGAATCAAACAGCAAAGCTTTTTATAAAAGCACTGAAGGAAAAAAAGTCCACAAGTTTGATTAAACAGTCCTAAAAACTAAAAAAAGAGGAACAGGAAATTGATTTGTATCAAAATGTAAACACAAATTCAAGAACAGGTAAAACTAACAACGATAAGGCTAATACAATTCGTAAAAGCTTAGCACCAGCCACTTCTAAGTCTAGCTTAACTTCAAACAAATTAGTAGTCTCACTAAACTGAAAGAAATTATCAAAGGTATTGAAACACCAAAAGCGACACAGAGTGCCACTAAAGTTCAAAATACTCAAAGAATTTCAGTGTTTGAAAGGTTATATAAACCCAAAATAGTCAATAAAGTAACAAACAGTAAATGAAGTGCAGAAACTGCATACAGATCCTACCTTTTTGAGAAAAATTATTAAAGTTTCACATTTTATTATGGAACAAGGACTCTGTAGCACACACAAAACCTTTACAAAAAAACACCACATCCTGTTAGAAGACCCAGTAAGTGACCTTAGTAATTGTATTCACAAATGGGCGTCAATCGGTGAAAAGTTAGATAAAGTAGATAAGAACGAAGTTGATGAAGATGAGTGTGTCCAATGTGAAAAAGGTGTCTCTGCTGTGAAAAGTGAAAGGAAGAGGGTGAAATTTCAAACACAAGTTTCACTGAATTTTAACACTCCCAGACCGGAAGAGATGCAAGCAAGGCTGCAGAAGTGGTTGCAAAAACGTGGAAAGTCCTTAGATTCCTACCACCACTTGCAGTGGTTTGGTATTTTTCGTCTATCCAAAGATATCAAGTCATTGGAGGCGCGTAAATTTGAGTCATATGATGAGAAAAATAAAGAGAATGTAGCAGTGGAGTCTGATAGCAATAATCAATCATACACAGATAATTTGATACACAGATAAAATGATCAAAAAGATGACTTTATGGCTGAAAAGGCTGAAGTGAGTAATAATAAGTGGCGCAGAGCCAGTTGTGTAAGGGACAGTGCTAGTTTAAATAATAGTAAAAATACAACATTGACTTCAGCTGAAGCCTTGCAACATTTTGATGAGTTGTTGCTTGGAGCCTTGAATGATTTGACAGAGTTATTTCGAGAGGTAATCATATTAATTTTCTACCTTAGCATTAAATATTTTGAATTTAATTTGTACTAACTGGCTCCATCATTTAACATTCTGTTCTGTGTTGTATATATCCGTTCCATATCGTACAAGTTATGTGGATATTTTAAAAAGAGTTAGAAGTACCAATTCCATGTGAAATTAAATGTGCACCTGTAAAGTTGCAAGCAGTGTGGCGGCATTAAGTACTATCCAATTCTCTAATGCTCGCTAAGCTTTTTAGAAGCAAATTTGAAATAATTGTTAAACTGAACTAACCTGAATGAATAACAGTGTCAGCATTGCAAAAATGCTGTTAAAGCTCGAATGCCTCATTTCCATCCATCTCAATTTTCTCATTCCATCTCCGGTTCTTTAGGGGTATTAAACAGAAAAGATTATTAATTATAAATAGCAAAATTTATACATCTCGTCTGATTGTAAGTGAAGCCTAAAAGCCTGCCTTTACTATACAGTATATGTATGATAAATTATTATAGTTTATGCGCCATCAGTTGAAGTAGAAGCCGACTTTCTTGGAAACACAAAATAATCAAATAATGTTGTGTTTCTGTTGTAGCAAAGATGCAACTCATGGTCATCATCTTTCAACTACCTTCCTATTAAGTATCTGCGCTAGCTGTGTTTCTCTGTTAGAAATAACTAATGTGTTGCTAATTCATTTACAGTGAAGAGAGTTAAATTTAAAGAAGTATAACAATATCAAATGTTTTTGTTGCCAAAAAGACTATTATTTCAAACCCCACTAATTCATCTACAAAAAAGAACATAGCCAATTCTGTTAAAAACAATTTTCATGTTAATGGCACAACCAGAAGAAAAACTTATTCTGACCCTATAAACAAATCTGCAACAAACAAATTTACAAGTACTTACATTAAACCAGAAGAAACATTAAATTCAAAGCCTAATAGTTTTAAAAATGAATCAAACAGCAAAGCTTTTTATAAAAGCACTGAAGGAAAACAAGTCCACAAGTTTGATAAAACAGTCCTAAAACATAAAAAAAGCGGAACAGAAAATTGATTTGTATCAAAATGTAAACACAAATTCAAGAACAGGTAAAACTAACAACGATGTAGCTAATACAATTCGTAAAAGCTTTGCACCAGCCACTTCCAAGTCTAGCTTAACTTCAAACCAATTAGTAGTCTCACTAAACTGAAAGAAATTATCAAAAGTATTGAAACACCAAAAGCGACACAGAGTGCCACAAAAGTTCAAAATACTCAAAGAATTTCAGTGTTTGAAAGGTTATATAAACCCAAAATAGTCAATAAAGTAACAAACAGTAAATGAAGTGCAGAAAATGCATACAGATCCTACCTATTTGAGAAAAATTATTAAAATTCACATTTTATTATGGAACGAAGACTCTGTAGCACACACAAAACCTTTATAAAAAAACACCACATCCTGTTAGAAGACCTAGTAAGTGACCTTAGTAATTGTATTCACAAATGGGCGTCAATTGGTGAAAAGTTAGATAAAGTGGATATGAACGAAATTGATGAAGATGAGTGTGTCCAGTGTGAAAAAGTTGTCTCTGCTGTGAAAAGTGAAAGGAAGAGGGTGAAATTTCAAACACAAGTTTCACTGAATTTTAACACTCCCAGACCGGAAGAGATGCAAGCAAGGCTGCAGAAGTGGTTGAAAAACGTGGAGAGTCCTTAGATTCCTACCACCACTTGCAGTGGTTTGGTATTTTTCTTCTATCCAAAGATATCAAGTCATTGGAGGCGGCTAAATTTGAGTCATATGATGAGAAAAATAAAAAGAATATAGCAGTGGAGTCTGATAGCAATAATCAATCATACACAGATAATTTAAATGATCAAAAAGATGACTTTATGGGTGAAAAGGCTGAAGTGAGTAATAATAAGTGGCGCAGAGCCAGCTGTGTTCACTAAACTGAAAGAAATTAAAATGAAAAAAATGACAATGCTAGTTTAAATAATAGTAAAAATACAACATTGAATTCAGCTGAAGACTTGCAACATTTTGATGAGTTGTTGCTTGGAGCCTTGAATGATTTGACAGAGTTGTTTCGAGAGGTAATCATATTAGTTTTCTACCTTAGCATTAAATATTTTGAATTAAATTTGTACTAACTGGCTCCATCATTTAACATTCTGTTCTGTGTTGGAAATATCCGCTCCATATCGTACAAGTTATGTGGATATTTTAAAAAGAGTTAGAAGTACGGGGCTCAGCGCATAGGTGAAAAGAGTATTCCATGTGAAATTGAATGTGCACCTGTAGAGTTGCAAGCAGTGTGGCGGCATGAAGTACTGTCCAATTCTCTAATGATCGCTAAGCTTTTTAGAAGCAAATTTGAAATGATTGTTAAACTGAACTAACCTGAATTGATAACGCGTGTCAGAATTGCAAAAATGCTGTTAAAGCTCGAATGCCTCATTTTCATCCATCTCAATTTTCTCATTCCATCTCCGGTTCTTTATACTCACCATATGGAAAACAGCAGCATTATTAAGCTACTGTTTTATTCTGGTATTCTGTGAGAATGTAGTCCTACGCTGTTCGAGTTGATCCATTTGTGCTACAAGAATAATATAGCTGCAGTATGACTACCACGTAAAATGATATAAGCACTGTATCATTTAGATAATATATTTAATTTTGTACATTTTACAGAGAAATTGAATAAAAGAAATGGCTTCAGTTGAAGAAAAACTCAACAAATTAAGAGTAGAAAGAATTGCTGAGAAAAAGCTAGGATTGAAAATGTACTGTTAAGTTACTTTTATTTTTAATATTAGCAGTTCTAAAGTACTCATCATACTGTCTACTGTGGTTGCCATTAAAGTTAAGTTGCAGCCTGTATACAATCCAGACCTGAACACAAGCCTTTACTTATTTCTGAGTTGGTTATGGAGTTATTGGTCCAGTCTGTTGTCAGTCCAGTTTATTTGGCCACACTTCTTTTCTTTATTTATTGCTGAGCATTAGGTAAATAAACAAAATTTGTAATTCACAATTTTTTTAGTGCCGACAGTAATCAATTCAGTTACGTCATCAAAGTGATCATCAATCAATCATCAGTGTCACCAGTCAATTCAGTCATCAAAGTGATGACAGGTGACACGGTGACAAGGTACAGCCACATTTCCAGACAGTTTTATTAAATGGTGACATGATGTCTTTGTTTCAAAATTCACCCCCTCCCTCCCGGCATCAGTTGAGGATGTCACAGACATATAAACCTTCGCTCCGGTTATTAAAAAGTTAACAGAAAAACAGTACAGGAATAGAGTGTAACCTCAGCAAGCAAAAACTTTATTAAAAATGCTACAAAAGTAATATTAAAGGCGACGCAAAGCCTCTTAAAAGAAACAACCAATTGCAACCCCTCCAAGTAACTACCCCTCACCCTGCAGTGCCTACATCCAGGCCGGTCATCATTGTTACTCCGGCGACCAAGGTCAAGACAAGACAAGAGGCAGTTGAACTCTTTCGTCACAATATATGGTACAGAGACTTCAACTACCCACCGGTGAAAATTAAACCCGTTTCAAACAACAAGTTGCGCGTAGAGTTTGATAACATAGCACAAATGGACGACACTCTTATGAGGCAGGAGAAAATTAATATGATAAGAGCTGACTCCGCACGAATGTTAAAACCAATGATTATATTAAAGGAGCATTTTGGAGCAATAAAGTCTCTCTGTACATATCTTATAGGTAGAAAAGGTTAGGTTAGGTTTCTTCTTGGATTGGCTTGTTTTTAATTAGTTATTCATTAGCAAATATTATTTATTTAGTAGAATTCATATTCCACGTAAGTAAAACTACTTTTTACAAAATAAAGCTTATGTTATGTGTATATACTATGTGTCTGTAACCGCAAGTATAATAATCCGTCTCTAACTTTAGGGAAAACGACATAATAGACTTAGTATACGGTAACGGTTTAGCAGTGTGTAAGTCGGGGATGCACCCACGTTTGAGACGGTCACACACGGCCGGTGTCGTAGTTCCATCATCGATCTTACCGTCGTCTCTGAATCATATTCCCAGCTCATCAATGACCAGCTAGTTAACCCCACACCACATCACGACGCAATGCAATAGTGTACAAAATAAATTACCATATCTCTGTACCAGTAACTAGAACAATACATCAACTTTCTAATACAGGTCCAAAAAGCATGCTGACCTACATTCAACAGTACTTAACATTTACAAATGACTCCTTCAGATATCCTTAGCATTTACTTATCAACACGGTTGGAGGGAAGGATAGCAATCCAAACGCCAGTGGTACACAACCCCCAAATACCTTGAGGCCACATTCGAGCACCAGCATTCGCACCGTCCGCAATCGTGTCAAATTCGTCACTAGTCAACCCTACTCGCTAGTTAACAATAAGAGCAAACTGACCCTAAGATGCAAAGTTCACCTTTACAAAGCTTGCGTAAGACCTATCATGTACTACGTTAGCTTAACCTTCGCGCACGTGGTTCATAATCATGTAATGTCAATGTAAAGTTATCACTCGTAGACTCATTCGCATAGCCACCGGAGCTCGCTGGTATCAGCGAAACTCGGACTTGCACAGAGATTGAATAACTTCTAATCCTTGAATTCCTTGAAATATTCGACGATCTCTGAATATTTCAGGGAAATATCTCGGCGCTATTTTGAGGGTGCTGAGATACACCCGAACCCATTAGTAGTAAATGCAACCACTTACGCTCTGACTCCAAACGTCATCATGACCTAAGCGGCCCCCATTTTCGCACATGCTAAACCCAACTTTGTAAATGAACTTCAAATAGTTCAAAATCTCTTCTACGGGCTACGAACTCGTTCTATTATGTCCGTAACGCCGACCTTCACCGAGAATTAGAGCTCCCAACAATTCAGCAGTTACTCAAATCACTCTCTGAGAGATTCTTCAAAGCCTCAGAGTCCCACTCAAATCCCCTCATTCGCGAGGCAGCTGCCTATGCAGCCCTTCTTCACACTTGCTATAACGTGCGCAGACCGAGAAATCCTCTCTCGGACCCCTCCCTCTCAACAAGACTTCGGCTGACCTGAACTGCCTCCTGGCGGATCGGACCGAGCCTACTTAACACATCTCGTAATCCGCCTTATTTAGACACACACACACTTCTAAGCGACTAATCGCCGCCCTCCTTTCTGCCAAGGAGGGTCACGTCCGTTTACGGCTTAGAGATCTCTCGTCAGATCGATAAGCCAATCCCAAAAGGTGGTGTTTAGTGGGTAAAAGATTCCACATAACCACGCAGCCGGCTGCGTGGTATGCTATGAGCATTCACCACCTCCCTCCCCCGTTACCAGGGTTGCCCTTATTTGCTTCGGGCGCAAAAAAATTCATATAAGTTTTTTTATAAGCATGAATTGTCTGCATCATTTCTAATCAATATTTTAAGTATCGACCACCCAAAAAATCCTCACTACCATCCTTCTCAAAGCAATTTTTAGAATTCTGATTGTTAACAATCGTTTTTCTTTAGTAAAGACTCATACTTTTATACTTTTGTAAGTGTCAAGAAATAAAATATGCTTTATAGTAATTTGTTTTCAAACTTATTCACATTATGTAAGGCTTTTGGGAGATTTAAACTGCAGCTCGAGCGAGCAGACAGTCAGTGACGTTTGTAACACCTCAGTAGAAACATTTTCTTGAGGTTCAGATCACCAACGGAGTATATGTTTCATAGTTTCCACAATACGTTTACATGACACAATACACAGACATTTAATACATGAAATCATACTACTTTTGTGTATCAAAACCCTCTTGAGACCATTATTTAAACAGAAACAAAAGAGCAGTGTTCCGTGAGTGGTCAAGTTCCCCCCAAAACTCCATTTTTTTGATACGTGAACCGGCTGCCTTTGATCTCAGAAAGCAAAAATAAACAATTTTTTACAATTCAGTCTTTACATGCGCTTGTAGCAAAATGACAGATACTATAATGACTAAAAACAAATCACTCAGAAGCTGAAAAAGCTATATTAGTTAAACAGCTGCAATTGTTGTAGTGTTGCCACAAATAAATACTTTTAAAGTTCACTTGTGTGCATTTTTGTGTCCAGCACTGAATAGACAAGCAAATTCATATAAAAATACAATAGTTTTTCAATAAGCATATATTGTCAGCAACGTTTCTTTAGTATCGTTCAACCTTTTTTTAGTATCGTCCCCCTAAAAAACATCCTTAAAACTAGCCTTCTAAAAGCAATAGTTGGAATTCAGATATTAATCAACTTTTTTTTTTTTTTTGGGAAAGGATTCGTACTGACATCAAATATCTCAGTCCCTTACGACGTTAACGAAGGATACCTTCAACTTTTATATATTAATTTCTGCTCCGATCTACGCAGAACTAGATACTAGACGGTCTCAAGACCCAAAATGTCCCGTCTAAGAAGTACATAGAATATACCACCAGAACGACAGAAGCGAATCTTAGACCTGTCTCCGGAACGCAGGGAGATATTCAACATCCGGCGTATCTGTATCCTAACTGGGATTGCAATTGAAGCCCCTCGAAATTGGGGGCAGGGCCAACTTTACGGCCACTCGGCCAGAACCTGCTACGCCAGACCTCGGTGCATCAAGTTCCTAGCTGACCAAGTAACTACCGTAACTGCACCCGCAAGCCCGAAATGTCCTAAGAGCCTTCGAGGTGCGTTAATTGCCGTGAAGAGGGATACCCAGCAAACTATCGCGGGTAATTCAAAGCGCCGCGACGTATACAGTTCGGAGGTAAAAGTCGTACCAGACATGCGGATCAAGCCAGTGTGCCGCGTTAATTATTTTCCTTGGCCCGCAAACTCCACGGAGCAAACTGCCCTCAAGACAATTTCAACGCCACAATGGAGCAATAGGACTTATTGACGCAATTTGGTCCTTCAAGTGCGCCTAAGCACTTGTTTCTTAAATCCATAATGACAGTACTATCTTTAGGTAGAACTAAACCACGCTCTCTGACTGTGGCGTTCTTCAACGCACACGGCCTTAAGAGACCAAATAGCTAGGATATTTCAGTGGCGCCCAGATTATTTTGTGTATTAATAATCGATTAATAAACAGTAGAAGTCACGCATTAAAATGTTTATGGGAAAGTACCACTTTTCGATTACAAAACAGATGATTGGGTGGTACACGTAGCACAACACAACTAAACAACTTCTTTATTGCAAATGAAATCGACATGTCACAAGACTCATATAGTCGTACTCGTGGTTTATTGTATCCAAATACGCCTGAATCAACCGATAACAAGCTAATTGTTACTACGCTTGACGGCCTTTTCAACCCAATTAATGTATGCACGCTGGAAGAAAAAAGTTTAATTCGGCTTCAAAGGACCCTCACGAGTCGATGGTGGATGTTGCTGCTCGTATTCGTAGACTAGCACCGGCATGTTACTTTGGTACAGCTCTAGAGATGTGCTTTACAGATTGCTTTGTACTTGGTCTTGACAGAGTCAAGACTGCCCGGGAAAAATTGTTTAGAGAAGTTCCCAATCAGCTAAAACTGAATAAGGCACTTGAAGTAGCTTGTGCAGTCAAAGGTGCGCTGCGCATTGTTTCTGCTGGTGATTCGGCGTTCCGTGAGTTAATTAAGTTTGAACCTTTACTATATACGGACTGGCGGCGAATAGCTCCTGCAAGCGGTCACAAGACGGTCGCGCCCGTAGTGGCGGCGACGCCGGAGTCCCCAGGTGTAATGTAAGGATCTCCTAGGTGTGTGTTATTTGTAGTTAGCATAACCGCCGGTACGACATACTCCGCCGATCGTCGAGTCTGTATACTCTGAGAGGCATGGAGGTCACCGGCCCCTAGGTAGATTCTTGGCACTTTACAACGCTCGAGTTCTACTGTGCCCAGTCGCGGTTTATAAAGTGCCACCATTTGCACTCCTCCCAACAGTTTCGTTAAGAAAGGGGTAGGCAGTGCCCATAGTGCTGAAACCATACCATCTACCACCACCCCTACCATTCGCATCGTGCGGCATTATTGCCTGCCGATTCGTTTGGTAAGAACTGATAGGGCCTTAGAGTACTGAACACTTCACTTGTTAGGTAAGTTAAAACCATGTCGGACAAGGGCCGGACCGTCCAGGCGTTTTAGACCGGCCAATTGGATACAGGAACCTCTTCAACCCTGAACGGACCAGGGTAGTACAGTCGTACTCCCAAATACCCACCCGGAAGCTATCGTCTTCACCCAAAAAAGGAGCCTGCACCGAAAGAAAACCATCCCAATTTATCGTGCTATAATTTTTTAGAAATTTTATTAAAAAAATATTTTTAAGCAATTCAAGCCGTTTGAAGATCGCAGAAGCAAGCAAAAGCCTTCATAAAGTTAAAGTAATGAAAATTACACAACTTTCAAATAACAGCATAGATTGTCTACAACATTTCCAGCCCTCGTCGAACTTTATCCAAATATTACCAAAATATCTTTTGACACGACCAACATCAACAGGAATAAAACTATATTTACAGACTCTATAGCGTTTGATTTTAAATTTTTTCACACCGACGTGTTTGAAGTCCGGATGTCGTAGATAACAAAGACTACCTTCAATTTTAAATATTGACTTTTGATCCTATTTATGCAGAACGAGCTTACAGTGTCCTCAAGTTTTACAGTAGTATGCTTGAGTTTTGATTTAATTTTATTAATTATGGAATACCAAGCAGATAGTAGCACCCAGTCACCTTCTCTATTGCAATTTGATAATAACACCATGTACCAAACAACCGAAGTTGCATGGTTTACACAAGATACACAAACCGAACGCTCCACTACGTGCCATAGTGAGCCAAATTTATACACCAACATAAAAATTGGCTCAACACTAAGCACTAAAATACTGTCACCACTGAGAGGACACATAAGACCACATACAAACGATTCACACAATTTAAACGGCAACTCGAGTGAGCAGACAGTCATGACGTTTGTGACTCAAGATACCTCAGCACAAACATTTTCTTGAGGTTCACATCACCAACGGAGTACCTGTTTCACAGTTTCCACAATAACTTTACATGGGCAGACATTTAATACATGAAATCATACTACTTTTGTGTATCAAAACCCTCTTGAGACCATTATTTAAACAGAAACAAAAGAGCAACATTCCGTCAGTGGTCAAGTTCCCGCCAAAACTCCATTCTTTTGATACGTGAACCGGCTGCCTTTGATCATTAACAAAGAAAAATAAACAATTTTTACAATTTAGCCCGACAGACGTATTGAACTGAGCCCTACATATTATTGATCCTGTTCAAATTTTGCAAAAATATGAGAATAAAACAGAACGTGCTCACTGCTTCCTCCACACACATGCGCTTGTAGCAAAATGACAGATAATATAAAAAACTGTTCGGTTCGAAGCTGAAAATGCTATTAATTAAACAGCTCCAATTGCTGTAGTTTTGCCAAAACTAAACAGTTCTAAAGTTCCCTTATGTGCATTTTTTAGTACAGCACTGAATGGACAAGTAAAATCATATAAAAATAAAATAATTTTTCTATAAGCATAAATTGTCTGCAACATTTCTAATCAACCTTTTAAGTGATTCCTCCAAAAAAAAAAAATTCTCAAAACTGGCCTACTCAAAGCAATAGTTGAAGTCTGATATTTATCAACCTTTTTCTTCTTTCTTTTTTTTTTGGTAAATGACTCGTACTGACATCAAATACCTCAGTCCCTTACGACGTTAACGAAGGATACCTTCAACTTTTAAATATTAATTTTTGATCCAATCTATGCAGAACGTGTCTTGAAGTTTTACAGTGGTATGCTGGGGTTTGGATATAATTTTATTAATTATGGGTTCCCAAGCAGCTGCAGTGCATTGTAGTACCCAACCATCTTCTCTATTGAAATTTGATAATAACAACATATACCAAACCAATAAAGTTGTGTGGGTTACCCAAATTACACAAACCAAACGCTTCACTACGTCCCACAATGAGCCAAATTTATTCACCAACATATAAATTCGCTTAACACTTAGCACAAATACTGTCACCACTGAGAGGACATATAAGAGCACATACAAAAGATTTACACAATTTTGTCAGTGATTTAATAGACCTACATCTTGCCGACGGTGAAGTAATTGTCAATTTTGATGTCCAGTCACTTTTTACATGGTTTCGCTTATGTAGAATCGAAGTGAAATACAGTTTCAAAGAAAACTCTCTCTCTCTTCAACTTTTATAAATTTATTTTTCGTCCGATCTACGCAAAACTAGATACTAGACGTTCTCAAGACCCAAAATCTCCTGTTCTGGAAAGAGCATAGAAAGTAGTTACGTTGTACCAGTTCTGGCGCACTTGTAGAAAGGTTGTACCAGTTCTGGCGCACGACGTTCGTCGACTCACGATCCTAAAAAAAAAAAGGTTTTGGCATGCTCTGATCACGAATCTGCGGTCCATTTTTGCGTAGGATGCACGGTTCCGGAGATGAGCAGATCAATTAACTCTTATCTAATTGATATCCGCTGCGAGCCTCAACCGTCATTAGCGCTCCATTGTCCTTATCTACTTATCTATTGTTGATTGACTACCGTCATTATCTATTATTCGTCAGCGTGTGGGTCGGCTTATGCTATTGTATTATACTCCTTTGTTCCTATCTACAATACTAATCTGAATCATCAATAAAACATATTACCTAATTTTGTTAAAATTTTTATTTATAAAATACAAAATCTTATTACTTATTATCTATAAAATAGGAGCGAAACATCTCATCCACTAAAATATCGTTGTACAATGTGTTCTCTGTAAATATACTCGTAAAACTATGCATTGAACATCCCTGAAACTTATATAGCAAATACATTTTTTTTTGCGCCCGAAGCAATTAAAGGGCTACCCTATACGTAGGGAGGCGGAAAATGCATTACGCATACCACGATAGCCGGTCTATCGTGGTTATGAGGGGCTCATTGTCCTACCGGGGACCCTAAGTGATACCCTCTAAAAACCGCCTTTGGGGACAGGCAACCGGCTGATTAAGCTCTATTGTGCCTTGTCATGAGCGACCCTCTTTTGGGAAAAGAGGGCGCAGGAGAAAAGAGGGCGCAGGACAAATACATTAAGCAATATTCGCCACAAACTGAAATCCACTCATTCTGAATCCTATCAACATTCCAGTTCCATCTTTTACAATTTCTTTTAAAAAACTCTAGATGATATCGTACAGGTGCCCGTCCGAATGAATCAAAATATTGACCGACGTCATTCGTATCGATATATAAAGCTACCCAATGTGACCCTGGTTTATCATCTGTATCCAAATTGCATATTATATACGTTGGTACGTGGGTGTACATGGGTAGTTTATTGGCAGCATAAACATTATTTTCTAGAGTGGGGTGAATCTTTTTCAGATGTTGTTGTACATCTAGTGTATCCATAATATTACTGCTATTAGTAGATTATTACAGTACCAATCTACTCAATGACTAATATAGGAATGATCAATTATAGTGATATCTAAATATTAAATTGCTTTCTTTGTGTTATACAAAACGTATTTGAGTCACCAATACACTGAACAAGACACGACAGGAAGGACGTAGGAATGTAGAGATAAGCAACAGAATGTAATGTAAGCTTGTTGACGCATAAAGATACTATCAATTCTACTGCAGAAATTCTTTAGATTAGAATTATTACTCACTGGTACTATATAAGACCAAGCAACTGCAGTCATGGAGTTAGTGTATGGTCGTTTGACCGCAGTGGATCTATCAATACTACGTTTGTGTTACTTCAACGCATCAAAGGCCATGGATGTAAGTGTTTATTCTATTGACAAACTTACTTTTCTTTCTGTTATTTTCTTACGTGTGTATGATTTAGTGTTAACAAATTATATTTAAATATTATGTGTGTGTATATGGTTAAGCCGTGGCAGCTCAGATGGTTAGCGCAAAATGTAAACTTCATAGTACACGTCCCGGGTTCGATCCCCGCCGGCACCAATTAAATTGTTAATTACAATTTTAAGTGCTGATTTACCACGTGCTCAGCGGTGAAGGAAAACATCGTGAGGAATGCATGTCTGAGAAAATTTCGAAGCCATGTGAAGTTTGCCAACACGCATTGAGGTATCGCAGCGAACATTTCCTAGCCCTAAAACCCTCTCAGAAATGAGAGGAGGCCTATGTTCAGCAGTGGACTTTAATAGGTTGTAACTTTAGCTTTTTTAACTTTTATGATTAAGTGTTAACAAATTGATATTAACATGATAACTGTGTTGTTGCAGAAATCATTGAGCTTCGATGAAAATACCTATAAACAGTATTACTATTCGCCACTCTCCCCTCAAGAAGAGAGTGATGACATCGTCATTAATAATAACACATGCGATGGTGGAAAAATAAAATCGCAATCGATTGATCATTTTTTTGAAGCTGAATCAAAAATAAAAAAGAGGAAGCTGTTATCATCTACCGTAGCACGAGCCGCTAGAGATGGTGTATCATACATTTCTACTAATTCTGACGACGGACATCAAGCGACGCATCTCATCAAAATTGAAATGTACGATATGAAGAAGCTATCCAAGATTCCAACTACTGATCATTGGAAACATGCTTCCACGAGGATTAAATATTACGTAAAGACGAATAAGGATAGCATCTACGACAACACAAACGCCCTCGTATACAATATTACAAAGACAATAGCAGAAAGTGAAA